TTTTATTATTAAAATAAAATATAAGCAAATCCGCGTGTTATTGTCAGTTTTTAAGATGTTATGTTTCACATAGAATTGTATACTTGTTCTTTTTCAACTGGTAAAGGACATCGATAAAAGTTATATGAGGGCCCGTATAAGTGTTTTGAGGTTTCAGTGCGACATTACAGAGAATAAAGTTTTTATTGTGTCTGGGAAAACTATGATTCTCATGCGAAAGCTATTGTATTATAATATATGTTCGTCAGCCGTTTTTGTATGTTGTAAATTACGTTTTTCATTGAATAATTGCGCGGGAATCGTTTCATCGTAAGTGATTGTTTTCTTAAATACCTAACCACGTCACATTTTAGGTAAAATAATATCGGTTGTAAAATTATATTTTTTATTTTACTTTGAAATCTAATTTAGTTTTTTACCTTATACGAATTAATATACAATATGGAATTAAACGCACCGAAATCACGTGAAACGTCGAGTCTAAGTAACTGTCAAATCATTTATGCTGTTGCGCGCTTAAAACAATTAAAACTAATTTATTTGATTTGTATTTACCTAAAATGCAGACAATATTAACATTTCGATTCTTGGCGTAGCTTATACGAATTAAATGATCCACGCAAATTGGCTTTATTCAAAGCTTTTGTCATATAAAAGTGTTTTAAATACATACAGCGAAGTTGCAATATTATTCAATACATGATAGACTTACAACACCATTTTTTTCTAAGTCAAATTGTCTTTCCTTTTCCTAACTTCATGCTTTAGTTGAAGTGTTAAGAAAGAGTGAATACTTATGATCTTACGGACGCGATTTCGGTCAAGCTATATACCCCAACGAGAATCAAACCTGTCTAACATCCGTGGTTATGTTTGCGTAAGCCATCCTGACCGAGCAAACATACCGAGATAAGAGTGGTGCCAGGTAAGCTTAGATGCTTATAATGAAGTAACGTTTATATCCAATAAAAAAGATAATTTTAACGTTTTTATTTTTAGTTATTTAATACTTGTACTGACACAATGTGATTTGACAGCCTATAAGTACTATTTAAATAATAAATTGTACTGGCAATAATTCACAACTTTTAGCTATTACTTGACTAGATTTTCTTACAGGTCGTGTCAAGTTTTTCCGTTGTGATAAGGTAAAATCTTCAAAAGATGGTATAATAAAAGAATATTAAATAACGATAACTATTGCCTTCCGGAGATTTTGTATTTCATATTACATATATATATTTATATAATGTCACTTGTTATGGCGACGAAAATTTATTGTTTAAGATGTGCCCCAAGGATCTGCATACATAATTTTTGCGTGGAACCAAAGGCTTGGCTGAAATTTTCCACTGCTATGTGCAATCGAATTCGCCAACGGATGTAGGCGGTATTCAGCGAACTTATGAAACACTTAAAATGTTATATCAAAAGCAATATTAAAATGAGCTCAGGCAATTAACCTTCTATATTTAGCAAACCAGTCGCAAAGAAATAAAATCTCGCATAGGTAGCGTAAAGATAAAGGGAAGATTAATGAAAGTTACCCGAGATGTAGTGTTTATCTTTATGGGATAATGGAGGATATAATAAAGTTTATATGTGCAATGCCGGCCTCCATCTTGATGTCGTAAAGAATCTGGGTTGCCATCGATAAAATGGTACGGTAGGATAAACATTACAACCAGTATAATAACTTGTTAAATTACTTTATCTGTATGTAAATGTGTGCATCTGTAGAAATTCAATTACTTTAATTTTCCCGCCATAAAAGTATCGACAGAAGACTTGTCACTTTATCTGTCAAATTCCATTATATAAGTACCTAGTAGATTATTTGTTAAGATCTCTATAAAAATATACTTAATATTTGCATGGCATGGAAAGCCGTTTAAGTGTGTGACTAATCTATAATACGTATTACATAGTTATGTAAACCTGCATTCAAAAAGCTTAGATTGCATTTATTATGAAGAAACCGCCTGCGGTGGTCCATATGTCTCTTCCGTATATGGCGGTAAGGACATCGATTCGATAATCGCTATCATTTTATGGAATCGATTTGCACATAAATCGATACCAATGCAACCGGTATTTCAAATATTAACCGCATAAAACTTTTAAAATTGAACGCAACTGACTAAATTAAGTAAATGACATTTCAACTTTTTATACCGCCTACCATATTTATAGTTTTTATTATATTAAACTATAAGACAACCAATAAAGGAAATAAAATTAATTAATTTTTGTAAACCGCTGCAATTTTTCTCGATTTCAATAACCATAGATTACACTAAACGTATAAAGATTAAATCTGACTTATCGAAAGCACATAACAATTTTTTTTATCGCCAGCCAGTTCTTGTCTTAATTGTACCTCAGATAACACAAATTATTTAAATTGAATTTTATTTACAAGTTAAATTTGAACGTCGCTTTTTTGTGCTATTTATGTTTTTGCTTGTCAATTAAAATTGTTTTATTAAGTCCCTTTAACAGATATTTATTTCCCACTTCAGACTTAATACTTCATTGTCAACGCCGTCTTCCCAGCACGATCAATGAGAAATTAGATTCGAGTAACGTCCAACTTCAATTGTGGCAAAACAAGCTCGTGCCATCTGTTGTACCTTATTGATAATGTAATATGGATCAAATTTGCGTATTCACAGCGCAGATGTTTCTATACAAATGCTAAATATTAAGTGAGAAATTGGCGACTTAGTTAAGATTTATAAGCGCAAGACAACTAGGGTTAAATATGTTCTCGTTAGGACATGCCACAGTTGGAAAATAATTGTTCTACATTCTCTATATTTGACATGGCATGGCTTAAAATATCGGCATAAAAAGAACAAAAATGTTCGATATTCCCTGGCAACACCGAGATGAGGATGCCGCTCTCAGAACACAATGCGGCTATAATGGTTGCCCTTTATTTTTTTTGTGGATAGGGGCGCAAGGACAAGCACACATGGCCAATTTTGCACATATTGGCTTTCATAAATAACATTTTTTTACTGTGCCTATTTGCAGTCTGTTATCAAATAGAATCTTTGTACCTAGTGAAGCTTTCGATTGCAGGCTGCATTTAATTAAAAAAAAGTTTGGTAGTAGAAATTACTTGATAGCGCGAAAATCAGTTATTATAATTTTAATTTCAAACAAGGTATTTTTAGGAAAGCCTAGCTTTGAAAATAGTTAATATGTTCACAGCATTAAGGATAATCATATTCAAAGAAATTATTAAACCATTAAGTTACCTAGGTAAATCAATATATCGATAATCAACTGTGTTGTTATTGTATGTTAGTTATTAATAATGTTTGTGCACTGATAAATTAGTCCCAATGAACGTCATATCAATGCGTTGTCGTATTTCGATCGTTCGAAAGCTTGTCCCCAAGAAGTTGTTGTCAGCGGACAATTGAACTGTAATTGAGATTGTTTTTAAATTGGTCCGCCATGTTTGTTCAACAAGCGTAACGTGAAGTTAGTAACTAAACACGTCGCGATTTTTAAACAGGTTAAATTTGCAATTATCAATATGTAGATTAAGTAGTGGTGGTTAAATGTGAACTAGCGGGAATTAGCAACTAGATATAAAGAAACTCAATCTATTTACGGCTGAACTTAGATATATACATCACAAATAAGAACAAAAATATAAAGATCTCTTTACATATCGTATGTATTTAATTTAGTTTATTACATTAAGTTTTAAAACGTACGCCCTGCCAAAACTTGATTTGCTAATAATACGGTTGTGGATTGGTAAATATCTTAATTATAGCCACTATCACTCATATCGGTAACGTTATTGAATTTTTCATAGGGTCAAATCTCATAAAAGACATTGTGCCATTATGAGACCTAAACAACAGAGCTAGGAACGTATTTTCAGTCCAGTATTTCAGTATTACTGTCCCAGTTCTGTAAATGCTTTTACTGATATTAAACGAGTCAAATGTTCCTGTCCATTTCATTTACAAAATAACTAAGACAGTTATGATCTGGTCACACTAGAATCCTAATACACTTTCTCTCGAACAACATAGTACCAAAATACATTTAAAGAACAACCATTTCCCCCATCAATATTCAAAAAGCCGAGTCCTGGACGCAAGTACAGAAATCGTGTGTAGATGTTTAGAATACAAAAGCGGGGAATGCTACAATTTGTATTCCGCTGCAAGATAGACGCCCGTCGTGAGCGCTATGTGTGGAATTGAACTGTTGTTGTTATCTATGAAATCTAGTGCTTTGCAATGTCCTTGGAAGTACGCAATGACAACCCTTAAGCGCGGGAAAATGCACAGATTATATTCCAATTGTTTATGGTAGCCAGTAAACAAAAGTGATCACAGATTATATATATAAGGTATAGGTTCCGTGATCTTACTCAAAATCCGAATGTCTTATATATTATCGGTGGTATACCTATGTAAGTTTAGACGTGGAATGTGTGAGCAATGTAATAACTACTTAATACAACTTAAAATATTAATATTAACAGACAAAACGTCTGATCAGGAACCATGCTACGAGGAACTTCCAAACTTCGCCTCAATTACAATAAACAGGAGTTGGCAGAATCATAGGTTATAATTTATTTGTTTTAAGTTAAAGCTGCTGAGGCAGAAATTTCTATAACACTCAGGACTAAAAAGACCACAAAAAGTTCATGCAAGCTAAGCTATCGAATAGCGCAAAACGAAAGCTGGTTTATAGCTTAGCTAAGTAATTAATATCGTAACCACTAGCTGAGGCGGTGTAATTAAAATGTATAAAAACACGATGAGACTTCACTCCCGTTTTTAAAACGACTAGTTACACAAGTACTACGGAGTGTGAGAACCAAGGTATAATGCGGCCAGGTGATAACGTCGTCTGCGCGCGCAAAGCTCGAGGCAGCGGCGTATCATTTTACACAGTCGCGTTATACCTATCCGCGCTTTCAAAAGCTCCAGCGCATCTAGTGACAAAAAATTATTTACCTTCAGCACCGTGGATATTCGCAGCTAACGCGGACAGCAAAAGAAGGATGGACAGTTTAATTCCATAATCCGGGGTAAAGTTCCTGGACCACATCTTGCAACACAACATTTACACATGGATCACACACATTTGTTTTATTCCTTTTGTCGTTTTAGCACTTAATTTTACACACTTCACGGAACCAATAGTAAGAACTGACACTTCATTTTGTTTATGAACTGTTGTTGGGTCGGAAACACTTATGTTTTGGTCATTTTAGCGGTAAAACACATTCAAAATTAACGTACGTCCCGGTATGATCATGCGCAGCCGCGTCCCGCTCGCATCTGACGGCTTTGTTCGTAAATACACAACGTACGGTAAATCAAAATGGCGGACGGGGCGGTAGTGTGCGTGAGCGCGCCTTTAGCATTGCTTATTTTACATATTTGTTAGCTAAATTCTAGGTAAAATAGTATATTTGGGTAAATATTATGTAATATAATAATATTTAAGTTATGGTTTTGATCTTAAAGCTATACAACACCGTGAGAACGCTATTACACAAACACGCAAAGATACGCGAAGGAATGTTGATTCAATGGAGAAATCAAGCAATTCAACACCATTCGAACTTCACAACCAATGAAAGCTTCGGTCGTAGTTCTATCACCATGACACAGATGGCGCTGTATTCCCGCCTAGTAAAACGAAGGGGTGCATAATTTGAATTATTATTATCAGTGAAAGTGGGTGGCATTTATTTATTGTTGAATATTGTAACGTTAATATTTTGTCTGTAAGGTTCAATTACGGATTAATGTGTCGCTAAACATTGTTAAACTTGTTTAATCAATATTGGGGGTAGTCAAGAAACACTAGGTTGTATGGTTTGAGTTTATTTTTTATTATTTCATAAAATTAATAGAATGGCGTTGTGTCATCAGAAACATCCATTTGAGATAGAGACTGACGATCGTCTGACTACAATAAATACAAAAATATTTGAGATAAAGAAGAAAATACAGTTATCAGGTTTGTATGTGCTATCGTCAAAATAAACAAATACTGGATCGTTTTAATGTCTTTATTTCTTTGGTAATGTGTAGAATAGTGGACGTTTAAACTAAATTATTAATTTTATTACAAATTATTTCACCAAAGATTTTTTAAGAACAGAGGCTTTTCGTTCCATGTTTAGACGGTCAAAGAAAATCACACTACGAAGAAAACGAAGCAGAGAAAAGGCAGAACAACGATCTTATTGAGACGCTGAAAAAAGAAATTAAATTACGTCTTACCGAGTTAAGCCAAGCTAAAGAAGTTGTCAATGATGAAGAAGCCCAGATCAAGAAATACTTGAATGATGTCTGTCCTATAGGCAACAAGAACTCTGACCAGGTAGTTTGATAATTGACATTGGTTTTAAAACATATTGTGAAGATCAAAATAGCTCGAGAAACTTCTATTACATTTTTATTTGTATTAACTTAAATAAACATAAGTAAGATTAAAAAAAATACACAATAGTGCTAATCTAATAAGAAGTTGTATATTTGTTGTAAGTAATCGTTAATTATTAAGTTTTATTAAATGTAATATTACACACACAGTTACATGATGGGAGTCTCTGCTATTCAATAGAAAAACGCTGAATAACTAAAACTTTTAACTGTTCAAAACGCGCAATCATAAAATGATCGTTTATTTTTATTATTATTTAAGCTTCTTATAACTGGACTAAAAGTATAATATAGTTTTCTCATATCTTAGTGTTCAGAATAATATAAATAGTCCATAAACGTTTAAATAAAACACTTTAACGTCGGGCCGAAGTTAAAAATCATTTTCAAATAAGTTTAACTAATATATTGCGTTTTAAACCGTTAAAGTGTTTTATTTAAATGTGTACTACTCGCGTAAACTCTAGACAGTGTTTAGTTCATAAACATTTAGCAAAATTATAAATAAGTAACATTTTAGCAATGTAAAACCCTATCTAATCTAGATTGTTTAATCCTTCTTTAAACATTAAATGTTCATTGATTAATTTACAGGTCATTCACAACCTAGATTTAAAAGTGATCGAACAGAGAAAAGTCCTGGATCTGTTGAAATACGAAAGGGGGAGTAAGAAAAAGAAGCTAAGGGAATTGGAAAAGGAATATGAGAAACTGCTGATCGAGAGTACTAAGAGTGACTTGGTTAAGTCAAAAATTACGACACGGTCTAGAAAAGTAAGCCATTCAACTCCCGAAATGAAATGAAAAAAGCCTATATTTCGAATACTGCACTTTAAACTTACAATAATGAATGCTTTAAATAAAACACTTTAACGGTGTAAAACGCGATATATTAGTTAAACTTATTTGAAAATTAAAACCGTTAAAGTGTTTTATTTAAATGTATACTACTCGCGTAAACTATAGACAGTATTTATTAATTTATGCTAAGCTTTATATGGAAAATTGTTTTTTCAGCACGTTTCGCATTTAGAAAATGAAATCCACACCGTTTTGATTCAGTGGACAGAAGCTGAGCTGGTCAAAAAGAAATATTCCTCTATTAGGTAAGCATATGTGTATTTAAAGGATAGTATGAATATATGTATTTATTTTCATTTACATTTTAGACAAGCCTTGATAGAAGACTCGGTGAAGTTTGAAAGCTCTCTTGCTAAAATCGAGGAACTGCTTTACAAACAGAGAGAGGAGATTAAGAAATTGGAGGTATTGAAGTTTATTACTATTAGAAGCACCTACGTAGACATATACATTCGATTTTAAAGTTACGGTAACACCGACTACTTTCATTATAAATTAATCATTTTATAAGTTGCTGTGATATTTATATAAAAACATATAACGGTTTAAAACTCGAAAAGAATAACAACAAGTAAACTGTTACAATTTAGAAAGCGACGTTTGAGATATCGTGACCACGCAACCATAGCTGCTGCAAAGCGATTTAAGCCGATTTTAAATAAAAATTACTCTCTCAGTATGTCCGTGAGGAAGCAGCGGAAATGCGTATACGCGCCACTGCGGCAACGGCCGCCGAAGCAGCGCGCGCGCATGACGCAGAACATGCGCGGGCCGCCGAACGCGCGTACTTCGCGCAGCGCTTCGAAGAGAGACGACGGGAATTAGAAAAGTTGGAGAAGAGAATCTTTCCACCAGCAAGTACGTTATTGCTGTAAAATCGATCGTGATTTATTGACTTTAAATAGAACCATTGTTTGGTAGTTAATATGTAAGTAAGTAATAAACATTTCTTAGTCTTAATGATAGTTTATAAGAACGGGGATAACTTGGTGGCTGAAACACCCCAGCCATATAACATATATTTGAAAACCGAAATGCAAATGTAACCCTTAACGGTCCTTTTCCATTCCCGGACTTTTTTTTCTTGATAAACTTTCGAATTTCCTTCCACATTTCCAGACGGGGTGTAATGTGTTTTAGAATTATAAATCCATTTTTAGACACTTGTTGGAGCTGGTGGAGAAACCACGACCCATTGATATATTAGCAAAATTCTAACCGAATCGTCCAGAATGTATATAGTAAAAAAAGATTTTTAGAATTACAGTCTTAAAAATCGATAACAATTTTGTTTTAAATTACGACACGGGCAGGACTCGAGTTACCGTTTTTCAATTTATAATCGATTTTTAATTAATAGATTTTAAACATTATATTCTTCTCATAGTCCGCCCGGTTAGACAAGAGTCCACAGGGTCGATGGAAGGAGAACCAACAGCTGAAGAAGCATCCCCCGCGCAGCATATGGAGGACGTGTTTCAGAAGCTAATGAAGCTAACTGGTACGCTATAGTTTTATATTATTTAAACTACCACTTAAACTGTGCTAAGAAACTTTCCGACACCACGTCTTTTAAAGCTGACTCTTATAAACAGATACACTTTTCGGGGTTCATATCATTAGGCCGTATAATTTAAAGAAAACTTGATAAATTTGAGCATTTATCGAGGAAGGCTTTCGGCTATAAAACATCACGCTGCGACTAATAGAGTGAAAAAGCGGTGGGAAACGCGGAAAAAATGGAAAATATTTCTATATTGAATAAAGTGTATTTATACCCAACTAATATGATGCACCTGAACAAAAAGAATGCTTCCTCATTAAATATATTTTATTATCCAAAAAACTGTCTGCGATAGTATGATTAAATCGCAAGAACGCCGTGACGCAGACGACGTCGTGGTTAACTGGTATAATTTTATTATAAAGATAATGAGGAGGTTTGCAAAAACAAAAGTTTGATGCCGGAAAAAACTATTCTACATGGACGAAGTCGCAGGGGCAGTTAGTTTCTTATAAGTTACGTATGCATATGATGCAATAAGAACCGTAAGTAAAAGTCTCTTCTGGTAATGAGTTTCTTTAACTATTAACGTTGGGTACATACAAACTCTTTCACAATGTCTTTATTGTTTAAAATGTTGTGTGTTCAGGTGTAACAGAGCCAGAACAAGTCTTCGACCGCTTCCGAGGACAACGGGAAACCAGCACACGTTTGAACTACCTGCAACAAACAACTGAAGAGGAGAAACTACAGTTGGAGCAAGCGCAGACTGCGCTCATGGGCGAATTGGAGGGATACAAATTCGCTTCCGTCAAGGATAAAGATGAGTACGTCATTAAATTACCTGATAAAACATTTATAATTTCTTTAAAGCCACAAAACAGCGCAACTGACATTTCTTTTTTTAGACAAATACTCTGATCTTAGCAATATAGCATCTTAACAGAATATGCTATCGACCTATTTTGTCTTTGCACATTTTTAAATCAGACTTAAACTGAAACACGGATTTACAGTATAAATTGTACACTTCATGGTGGATCGTGATCGGGGACTATCTAGATTTTTCAAGTCTTAGTGTTACACTGTGGACCTGGTGGAAATCGAAATCACACCACGATGATCAATACCCACCCATACATTGCTACAATCGGACATTGGAAAACTAGTAGTTTTCTTTGTTAGGCTTTAAATTTTCTTTTTAAATCAATCTATTAAAATATAGTAACTATATAAAGGGACTTTTATAAGAGTAATTTTATTCGCGTGGTTGTACTGCGTTGATTAAAATTATTAACAATTTTAATAGTATGCTTACATATTAGCTTGATCACTCAATTTTTCGTTCCGAATTCTATCAAAATTCTTCCAGAGGACAAGACGAAATCCAGAATTTAAAAACCGCAATACAAGAAGAAGAAGAAGCGTATGCAGAACTTCAAAAGGAATTGGATGAACTGGAAACGTTTTTGTTGGACATAAAAAGGTTGCTCTACGACCTCAGCAAAATGCTGGATGTGAGTTACTTAATAATTCTAAATATCATTGTTAAAATTACTAATACATATTTTGTATGTACTGTTTGTATGTATTTTAGTAAGATTTTTATTCGATATGTAATAGTCACTTCTTACCCCCCAGGGGGCACTGGAAAGTAGCGTTTCACTTATAGACATGTAGAGACTGTCTGTAGTTTACACTATAGTATACTTTTAACATACACATTTAAATAAATAACGGTTTAAAACTCGATATACAATTTTATTTATAGTTATTGACTAATCGATTTTGCGTTTTAAATCATTAAAGTACCTATTTTTATTTAAAGAACAATGGCCAAATCGTACCTGACGACGTAAAACAGTTCGTTATTTGTTTTTATGAAATAATAACTCATATGAAAGCCAGGAAGAAAGATATGACTGTTTTCTTCCTTAGACATGTTTTCAAACAAAATGTCATTTAATAAATCAAAGTAAATCAAAACCCTTTATTGTTTGTTACTGGTCGCGAAATTTTAGTCAGGTCCTGTACCTATACAAATTTATCAATTGTTCTTTGTACTACTCGCGTAAACTAAAGACTATACATAAAAGTATTAAATTTTATTCTAGTTGATCCCCGAACCTGCAATGCCCGAATGGACAGCTGAAGCACGAGACATCCAAGAGATAATCCAGGTTTTGGGTTCGAGGTTCGATAAGGCTCGAGCGAGAGTAGAGTTGATTGGCGACAAGCAAAGGGATACGGTCATAGTAGTGCCATCTAACGTAAGTTATTTGAATTAATATTATACAACTAAGTTTAAAATTCGAACAAATCTAAATAACTACAGTATGAAAACATGATATAGATGAATATGAGGCTGCTAGAGGCAGAGTGGCCTAATAACAAAGACCATTGATTTCAATAGGAAGGAAAATAAAAATGCATTATTAACTCAGGCGAAAATTAATTTCTACTATTATTTGTGTAAGAATTATGTTAACAATAATTTTCGGTCACTGCGCTCTTGTAGATTAACATTTTTAGACTATGAAAATATAAATAAAACATAAAATTGCAGTTAGGCTACTCTGCCTCTAGCGGCCTTATGTAGTTGTTTGGTTAATAAGAACATAAAATGCAATGGTTTAGTGTATTGTTCATATTAATTAAGTTAGAGAAAGCGAGGGATAAACGGTCTTCATCATCTGCATTGACATCTGAAAAATATTAAAGTTTGCAAGTACAATAACTAAACTAAATACGAAGTCTCTGTACATAAGGCATAAATTAGGCTTTTTATCTCTCTTTAAATGAAATATCTATACAAATAAATAAAATTGGAGTGTCTGTTTGTAACATTAAAATAACCGCTTACTGAATGCATATGGATGTATACACGGTACACATACCAAACAACATTTAAAAAAATTTGTCTGTCCGTCTGTTTGTTCCGGCTAATCTCAGAAACGGCTAGACCGATTTTCACGGAACTTTCACTGACAGATATCTGAAGTAATAGGGAGTAATATAGGCCACTTTTATTTGCGGCCAAGTGCGAGTCGGACGCGCGCACGAAGGATTCTCTGAAACGGCTACAGAAATATGTATGAAATATCCATTTCTTTTTAAATGATCTAAAAAAACGTCTGCGACACTATATTATGGAAGAAGTCATGAAGTAAATGAATTGAAATGACAGCTAGTATACAATATATTAATACTTATTATTTCATTGATGATTAAAAACTCGCTTTATTACTAATATATTTTTTAATGCCCAGACCACAAGCGGCGCACCTTCCGTCGCCAACATGAGCTTACACAGTCATAGCTCACAGAAGGAATCAGATAAGACTTTGCCGACTTACAAGGAGCTTGTTCTAAAGGAGCCTGGTAAAGTACAAGGTAAAGGATTGAATGAGCTAAAAATGTGATACGATATTTACTGTTTTCATGGCAGATCCGATTTTTTTATATAAAACATTATTTTTTGGTAGTTGATGGTAGGTGAAATATGTACATAATTTATATAACACCTAAACAAAATGCGCTATCGACCTATTTGGGCTTTGGATATTCGGAAGACAACAGGCTGAAACCGAAACGCGATTAAAGTTCACGACTATTCTATCTATGGACGGCGGTTCGTGACCCGGACGGAATTTTGTTATTGCTACCACCCATGTAATATGCAGATTTCCACACGAAACCCAAGATGTTTTAGAAAATTATAGTGTTTAGAAAAATGTTGTACGCTGTGGAAATCGAATCCAGGGCCCGTTGATTATTAGCCATACATTCCCAGCAACAAGTAATGACATTTTTGTGTGTATAAGAATATTATTAATTTATGTTAGTCGTAAAAAGCCTTGAAGAACAAATCGAAAAATATAAAATATAAAATATTTCGGCATCTATTATAATGTAGAAGATATTTTTTCGTAATACTTAACTTAACTTAGTAAACAGATCGTTTCTTTTTCTAGTTTCCGATGAAGAAGAGGATATACCGTCAAGATGTTATTTGAAGCGTCAGGCGCAACTAATAGTTGACACCAAATGCAGACGAAAAGGCTTCCGACCGCCCTACCCCCGCAAATAAAAACTTTTTGGATTAAACCTTTTTAAAAACCCGTAACTGTCAAGAGTGACGAGAATTAAATAATTTATAAACATTTACACAGTCTTTTTTAATATTTACAGTGTTTTAGATATAAAAAGTTAAACAAATTTGTAATCATGTTTTGTCCGCACAAAAATTCCTATCTACAGTTGGTTTGTTCTATGAATCCTCGCGTCTTGAATAAGGCAGTTGATCTGGCGATGCAGAGGAAGTCTTTTGATCCTCACACAGGTAAGAATCAGATTTGTGATCTAATGTAATTCCTTCCTTACTATTTTGGATTATTGGCATCACTAAAAATTGTAATTAAACTTTTTAGAACGTCCACCAGCCCAAAGATTGGAATCCATGCAACCATCACTTTATGCCCCACATGTTGACATTACCCGCGCTCGTCTTGGCTTCGGAAGAAACGGTCTAAGACTTATAAACAGAGACCTACATTCCCCGGAACATTTGATTCAGGTGCAAGCGCTGCACACCGTTCTAGATCAGGTATATACGATATTCTTAAGTAAGCTACGTCTAGTTTTGAGCCATACAAAACTGGTGAAGATGAGACGACATATAAAGCTAGGGTTTTGAGCGGTTCGCGCGTTCCCCAAGTGAAAAACGCGCAAAATCTGATGATGTCAAATTGTGATGGTAAAGATCGGGAACATTTTTTTTCATGTAGAGGTTTAAAAAAAGAACTAATGGTTTATACATTTTATAGGTTCAAATAACAGAAAACGCGATGTACCTAATAAAGATTCACTTAGTATACCGTCTGATCGATTTAATGGAGAACGAAGACCCAATTATTCGAGAAAAGGTGTGCATGATTCTGACACAAGTAGCGACCTACCATATGGGAAGGGAAAGGATTATGTCTCGACCGATCATCGTTGATTCCCTCTTATTCCTCATCCTGAGAGATAGGAAGGAGATACGCTACGCGGCTGCTGTCACTCTAAGAACGCTGACAGAACATAGATGTTCCCTAGAAAAAATATTAGCTCACCATACTATAGTCGAAGATCTCCTAAGAATGGTGATCAACGACCATAAAGGAATAGTGATGCTCCACTTAAGATCGCTAAGGAACCTCGCAGAATGGGACCAGGAGCGGCCACTAAAAGCAAACGCGTTCCAAGTTATGCTAAAGCTCTTCGAAGACGACGACCCGAGAATAATTTGCGGCGCAATGGATTGCATGACACAGCTGTGCTCACATGACGTCGGAAAGACCTTGGCTGATGTTTATGACCTCATCTTTGTGTTGCGGCCGTTCCTCACCCATCTACGCATTGAGGTGAAAATCAGCGCAGTTAATCTGATGTGTTACACCACTTTAACAACGCGTTCTAAATGGCGAGCGAAGGAGATCTGTGAGGACTTGACGAAGACGCTAGTAATGTTATGCCACAAACAAAATAAGCCCTTACTTCAATTGAGTTCAATGCAGGTGCTTATTAACCTGTGCGATTGTCCAGATATCAGGAACCATATGAAGTTCCATTGGGAGCGGAAGGTGAAAATGATTCGTGTAAGGGACCACGAAGAGTGGGATGGGACGACGGAGACGTCCAGTTACGGGTTAGAAAGTGGACATAACTATAGGACTATGTGTGTTGAAGGTGTGGAGACGATAAGGAATGATTACGGTGACAACGCGGCTGTGGTTAACGTACACAGCTATTTAAAAAGCGTAAGGAATATTAAAGAGAGACTTCTGTATGCTATTAATTGGAAATCCTATAAAAATTAGCTTGTATTGCTGTGGTTTGTATTAGAATTTTGTGTACAATGCTAAATACTGTATGTAGTTTACGCCAGCAGTACACGTTTAAGTAAAACCCCTTAATGGTTTAAAACTGGAACTATGACTGTTAAAGTTAGTTACTACATTTTTTAAATAACTACGGAGTTTCCTCGTGACCAAGGCTGCTGCCGAAACGTCGGAACTCGGGTATAATATTTGTTTTGATAAGTTTAACTAATATTTTTCGTATTTTAAACTGTTAAATGTATACTGCTTTTTTACCATTATAAAAGCGCCCTCTTTTGAGACAATGTTGTAAATCCAGGTGTTTCATATTAGTTTTCTGTTGTCTATAATCCTTAAGACTAGGAACTTTATTTCCTATCTCTTCAGCCTTTCCGAGAAAAAAAAATCAGCCTCAATTGTGATCGTTGGTTTAATTTACTTTATTTGTAATCTTTTCTTTTGTTGTGGCCTAAAAATTAACATTATTAAACAAAAGAATACCTTTTCTGGTTTTACATTTTGGAAATAATAAACTGTACACTTTATAAGCATTTATTTGAGTAAACATTAATCACACAGCGTTACATTTGGTAATAATATGCACCTTTTTGTGCCGTCGGCTAATTTAAAGCTAAAATCAGTCGTAATACCCTAATTATAAGAATCACATTTGCACTAGTTTCATTTCGCGCCTAACCTCATAAGTACTTGAATGTTGATATTGTTAATTAAATACACACAAATCATTGATATTCCGATCAATATTTGTGTTGTTTTGGCCTCGATTTTTTTTAAATATCATTGCCAGGTCTTATTATTTTTAATTGTCAAAAAGTTATTAAATCCCACCTTTTTTATTTTGATTTAATAGTAAAACATGGCAACAAAACATTAAAAGCAAATTACCCTTCAAGTCTCAATTTTTAAGATATATACCAATTTGATATGCCAATTGAATCGTAAAACCCCGGATTTATAACGATAAATACAAGCTACGATTAAGTAGACCGCTTAGTAATAGGTCAGGGTCGAAATAAAGTCTTGTGCATACAATACCAGACTAAATAGAAACATTGCTAGGTTTTACTTTTAGGACATACCTACTGATCAAATCTAGATAATGGTGATGTATTTTAGGCTAAGATTAGAATCCAACTATTACAACAAATATATGGAATTTAAATGAAAGAGACAAAATATTACAAAACTATAAGGTTAAGAATCCAAGATTAAAAAGTAAAAAGTCAAAACAAAATCCTTGAATCTGTTTAGTTGAAACAATGAGGCGACATCTTGTATTTGCTTTTCGAATTATATAGCTGTCATCTAGTCTTTAATTAACTAAATCTAAATCGTAAATTTGTCTAAGAAAAGCGATATATACAGCGTAATACTTTATTTCCATAAATCACAGTTACTTTGGAATTATTAATCAAGCTGCCTACGTCGCTTTTTCAGCCCTAACTATATTCTAATAGGGTTGTTTTTTCTTTAAATCGTTTCGATACGCATTAATTTCCAGTGTAAAATATATTTCTAAAATAGCATTAACCACGAAATTCAGTTCTAAAAAAAGTAATAAAATTATATCCATTCTGTTAAATAAAATATTACAAAAATAAATTATTTGATAAGTGTCATATTTACAAATTAACGAAGTTCGAGAAATACCTTTCAAATACTACTTTCACACAAAGGGATTTTTTTATTTATTTCTTTATTATAAAAGCTGACTATGCATTAGCCATCGATTAAGTATCGCCACTTCGTAACCATAACATACATTAGACCCTAATATCACTCACGATTTGAAGCACACCAAATTTCTAAATCTGTCTCTTTCACTCTGACGCTTTCTCGCTCTGCGCGTACTTGAAAAGGGCCTTGCACAGATCGTGCATGGTCGGGTCTCATCTGGCCCCGCCCCTTTTATTTAGCGGATCATACACCTCTGCTTCAGAATCTATCTCATCTTCAGAAAGAGATAGAGAGCCACCCACTCGACGCGTGCGCAGGCCTTCCTATAATTTAATAAAACGATATTAACGAGTAATAATAATAATAATAATAATAATCAAGAACATTAACAAAATAACAAGCTTCGGCTGTTACGTTATCGATGTTAAAGCAAAATGCGCTTTAAAAACAGCAAAGCTACACCAGCTGCCCATTTTAATAACATGTAAGATAGCATATTTATGTTATAATAAAATAAATATTTTAAAAATTGCATCGAGAAGACAAGAAGCATAACGCGTGATACATAAATAATTGTGTGCTTATAGGAAGTATCAAATGTGAGCGAAGACATCTAAAAACGATAAGAATAAATAAATACAATAGCCATAATTTCATATCACCGACCGACCCCAAATGTGGTACGATTTGCGACGGAACATTTGGTATAAATATTTGAGAGGTTTGTAAACGTAGCGCAGTGTTTTACGTAGCATACGAAATTGGGCTTAAAACACGTGTAATTATAGCTATCCTGACAAACCATATGAAGTATTTTAATAAATATTTGATTCCCATAAAAGGGGTCTTGTGAGTTATTTAGAGACATATACTATCGCGGACATGTATTTAGATTATTTATTGATATTATTTTGAGAGTATCTTAAGCCGGTTCAGCAGCCCACTCAATGGAAATTGGAAGATGAATAATTTTCCTCGTATCCCATTTATTCCTACATCTTATGGGTCGCAGCCTGATGTTATGCAGTGATACCTTCTTCGACAAATGCTCCAAAACAAAAAGATTTTTTACTTCGAACCTGAGATATTGGCGTTTAAACAAACATTTTTTTTAAAGCTTTATAATGTTAGTGTATAAGAAGTTTCCAAAATGTAAACATCTAAATGATAACATTTTAGAAGCTTCTTAGATGGATGCTTACGCTTACGTACACGTTCACTCTCGTATTGGTATTATTTTTATCAATCTTTAACATATAAAAACATTTTAATCGCAAATCGTAGTGTCCAGTCACCTTGTGCCCCACGCAAAAAATAAATAAAAAGGTCTAGACCCAACTACTGTCGTGCTGTCAATAAGTGCCCACCAGTTCTGTGTCGCTGATCCAAGCAGCCCCTTCCTCCACACTTGAAGACATCTATGTAATATTATTGGAACTGTTATATACTGTATAATACTCTATACCTTCAAAATACGAGAATGACATTAGCCCAAGTTGGGTAGGCTGAGGTGGGGCTTTTGTTTAGGGAATTAATGACACTTTCAAATATTTTTAAAACACACAATTGGAACTCAAACCAAATGAATATCTATTGACACTTCGACAACTTTTAAAAACTGACAATAGCCCATCAAAATCTATGCAATATGTACTCAACCTATGTAAAGTTTACATAATGAAATAAATTGTCAAAGCCACTTGGATTTACAGCCAAAAAGCCTGGGCAGTCTTAGCTTAGTCTAAAAACGCTCAACATCTGATGAAACTACGATAATTACATCGAAACATCAAGAACCTAATTTTGATAATGACAGCTGAATAGCCCGACCCAAGTATCTTTGTATAAAAATATTGAATTCTTTGGAAAGTACTTTAACTTAATACGACAATTCCAACTGCAAAACCAGTGCAAACTTTCCCAAAATCATTCCATTCATATAACTGACAACGTGCTAGCTACCAAACAGTGCTGCGTACCTCAAGAATTCCACCACTGGGTTCAGATGCGTAACCTTCGAAATGTCGCGGATCTTCTTCGTAGTCTGACGATGAAGAGGAGTCGTTATCGCCGTCACGAGCTGTTCGTACCGAGCACACCATTTGGGCGAGGTCGGTGAACGTGTAGCTAAAAGAAATTTTTGTTGAAATAAAAAAATGATTTTAGTATAAAAAAAACTACGACACGCACAAGACAACTAGGACTTTTTTAACCTATTTATACAGGCCCCTCTCGCGCAATGTAATATCAACCTAAACACCAAGTTGAACTAGGGAAAGGCATAGTTCAAAAAGTAAAGTATCTTAAAACATATACAAGATTTTATATGTCCGTCAACGAGTCAGCTACGCCGGACGCCGAAACTGGCGGTGTTCCACCCAGCTCTGATTCTGATAAGAACTAGAGTGCTTGGCAAACGGTCTTTGCCTCGCCACAACAAAACCCTACCCCAACGTTACACCAAAAATAACAAGTTGACAATAAACGTCTGTCATCTTACAAAGACACTTTGTCAACTGTCAATGGCACCGTTTATTTTATTACTGTGTGTATATTTTCTGTTACAATAAATAAACTCACTCTGTAAGGGACGGCTGCGCTAGATGCTTCCGTCTTTCCGCTGCTGCACCGCTAACCCCCCCACCGCCCCCTCGCCTTTGGCCCTCGAAGTACGCGGTGCCGTGCCGGTAGCCAACTTCCCGTATCTCGTCGAAAGAGCCAAATTGTAACGTCTTGTATTGGTCGATCGGTGGCCGGATGTATTCGCAATAGTCAGATTTTTTCACCTCCTGAAATAAAACATTTATTTATAAATATATATAATTATTACCGTACATATCAAGACATTTTCACTTCTTTTTAAAACAGAAATATTGTAATTGTTATTAACAAATATCTATCTATATATAAATGCACAATCATTTTAGGGTTTGGAACCCTTATGTCCTCTAATCAACTGTTTGTTTTACCGGGAGTAGAATTCAAGTCTTCAAGCTTAACTATGTTTAGGCACTGAGCCACGAGGATCTTACCACCCCCCCATAAACATGTATTTCCTTTCAAAATGTATAATTAAGAAAGATCTTAACAAGGGCAAAACCCAAACCCACGCTCACGGCGTCTCGTGCTCTTACCAACTGAGCAACCGTTGAGCACTTACTTCTAATTGGCGATTACACGAAACATAGGCCAGTCTGCTCTGAATGTCAGGAAGATTCGGTACTTTCACAGGACTCGTGAATGGATTCCACCTGGAAACAAACAATAGTAATTAGGATATCATCATATAACAAAACCTCCCAACTGCGTTGAAAACGGTATATTAGATAAAGTCAAGTGGACTTCGATACACAATTCTTATGTAACTGTGCATAACAACGAATTTTAATGCAAAGAAGGTACTGTCTATAGTTTATGTGAGTGGTACACATTTAAATAAAAAACTTTAACGGTTTCAAGCCGTGGCAGTCTCCCCGTGACCACGGCTGCTGCAAAGCATCCGAAACGTCGGGCCGAAGTTAAAAATCACATTCAAATAAGTTTAACTAATATATCCCGTTTTAAACCGTTAAAGTGTTTTATTTAAAAGCATAGAAGGTGTCATCAAAATGTATATGAAGCTCAAGTATTTTACTTTACTGACTCATTGATCTGTTAGCAATGTATAGCCAATAATCAATATTTGAAATAATCAATGTTTAAAATCAATTTATATTTGTTCTGAAAGATGTTGGACTTCGTCTGGAAAGCTGGATATTAAATTTGAATTTAGATTTTAAAAACTGGAATTTTGATGTGTCTATCACATACGGGTACTTGCCACCATTAACAACCGAGAAGTTAAATTGAGTGTCGGTTCCAGTCTGTTCTGATTTTCTAATATCCAAAGATCGACAGAGAATCTCGTTTAGATGATATATGGCTGGGGTATTTCTCTTACTATCATTTGAACCGCATGCGTCCCTCGTTATGATATGCAGGAGCTTAAGTATATATTACAGCTAAGTCTGTTCTCCTCCATCATAAAAAGTTTCAAATTACCTTTTCCAGAGCAGCCACCAGCCAGACAAGTCATCGCCATAGTTAGTTAGATCCGTATCGTCCTGAGAGCCGACGTCTATCGCCAGAATGTGCTTCGCGCCAAACGAACGCATCACGTCGGCTGGAAGCATACATTTTTATATAGCTTTTACAATAAAAAGGGACAATTCTTTTTGAGGGTCTATTTGTATTTACAGACAATTACAAGATCAGAATTTTTTAACAAACTTTTCAACTATTAGAAGGGCTGATTCTCAACTGTAACTGATCAACCCCGTAATGTATGTAAATCATATTCTGAAATGTTTAAGCATGTGATAGGAATTTCAAGTGTACCCAAGCTTGCCCTTTCTCCTCTTTCATAGAAAAAAATGCTTTTTCATCTTACTAATACGTTCTCCATTTTATATTTCTTGCATCCATAAAAGGTTCGATATTTAATAAAACTCGTTTACCTGGTACATTGTTGACATAACACCCGTCCAAAAGCAAATGGCCGTCGATGGGATCGCAAATTGGCGGGAAGATTCCAGCAATGCTCATAGATGCTCTGCAGTATCTCCAAAGGATACCTAACGGTCATTGCTTTGTCTGGACAATCTTCTGTGCGGATCGGTCCTCGAGTCAGTCGAAATTAGTCAGTCAATATCTCCACTATATTTACTAAACATGCTGTCGGTAGTAGCAGTAGCGAGTAGTATACATTCAAACAAAACACTGTGACGTTTTTAAACGCGATAAATATTAGTTAAACTTATTTGGAGATTTAAATAAAACACTTTAACGGTTTAAAACGCGATATATTAGTTAAACTTATTTGAAAATGATTTTTAACTTCGGCCCGACGTTTCGGATGCTTTGCAGCAGCCGTGGTCACGGGGAGACGGGGTCATTTTCAAATAAGTTTAACTAATATATCGCGTTTTAAACCGTTAAAGTGTTTTATTTAAATGTGTACTACTCGCGTAAACTATAGACAGTATTTTATTTGGAGATTATTTTAACTACGGCTCGATGTTTCAGTCTCCCCGTGACCACGGCTGCTGCAAAGCATCCGAAACGTCGGGCCGAAGTTAAAAATCATTTTTCAAATAAGTTTAACTAATATATCGCGTTTTATACCGTTAAAGTGTTTTATTTAAATAGTATATATCTAACTAGCTTGTTAATCAATTTTCTGATAATATTTTGCCAACATAATTTTTTATGAATTTTTCCTGAATATCTAAAGCCCAAAATAGGTAGATATCGCGTCTTGCTTTGATGGAATATGGCTGGGGTGTTCCACCTACGACCAAGTAGGGTACCTATGCTTGTCTGTCCTACTCTGTCATAAAAAAGGAAATTTATGTGACACTGTTCTGATTTTCTAAAAGCCTAATTAGTCATTTAAGTCTGAGAACAAAGTTTATTAATAAAAAATATTTAAAAAAGTACTCAAAGCTATTGCACAACGACCAACGACCATTTATAATTAATTTTGTTGTTACCGTGGTTTTTATGTCAAGTCATCGTCAAGTCGATCCGCTATATCCGTGTCAAGATCTTTTTCCCAATTCTCCAGACAAACCCTAGTGTTGCCACTTACCTTAATGACCGAGTGTAAATATTGTATAAACTAAGGCAGTCGAGGACATCAGGAAAAATCAGGCAATAATTGTGCAATGTGTTAAGACATACCATAAGCCGGTTAAGAAATGAGTCTACTGCAGGACGAAGCGAAGAAGTGGAGCTTTTTGCTATTTTCGTGGCAAATAATTTGCTTACATTAGGTTAGATATGAATATTTCATTTATCCGGCTCGAAGGACTTCAAGAAGTTTCATATATATTAGTTGTTTTTTTTTTCTAGAATTCGATAGGATATTCTAACTGAAAAGAGCAAAAATCTTCGGCTCCGTTCGAATCTGACTTTTATCGACAGCGGAAAGAAATATTTACACTCAGCCTGAGAGCGACTAGGATTTAAGCGCGCCGCGATGTGATTGGTTTACTTGTTTACCTGGGAGGTTGTTCACATAACCGCCGTCCAATAGGAGGTGGCCATCTACCGGGTCGCACAGCGGGGGCATATACCCGCTGAGAGACATCGACGCGCGAATGTATCGCCAGAGGGAACCTGCGACGCGCGAGCTCAGTTAGAAACTGCCTTCGACCAATTATAGACCCAGAGGCGTGCGAATAGGGTGCAATTTTGGAATACACAGTGGAAACACTATCCATGGAAAGGAAATAGTGACGCGAAGTAACCACTACCAAAGAAAGATACAAACAATTATGTTGTTCCATAACTACTGAAGGTAAACAAGATCGGAATGTTACGTAGAATTGTACATTGTTTTCAAATACGCGAAGCGTTATGCTGTAAAGTGGCCGTAAACAACAATGAATATATACTTCTAATTACGATAATAAACTAATACCATTATTAACACAAATATAATTTTAAAATGAAGTTTTCTAGTGAAATCACAGCACGATAAACAACTCCGTTCATTTCTCATGCAAAATATTTGTACAGAAACTTCGATCTGACTAAATGTACAGTGATGATTGATGACAATGATGACATAGGAGAAAAACTAGAAATAAATGGGGGATATTAAGAACCACACTCATGCATATACATGAAGAATAGATGGATGATAGTATGAATATAAAATGTGGCACAGATAATTCACACCCAACCCGACATTGTAACGCACCGAATTAATCTTAATTGACAGAGAAATCTCCCACAAGTTAGTCATTCGGTAAACCAATCACAAGCGTTCGGTTGAGTAGTGGCAACACCCAAAGCGAATGTCAGATTTGTAAATTTCGACAATATTGGAAAAAAAATCTTAAAACACCAAGAGGCTGTACTTAATTCACACAATTATATTGATTTTAGGGATTCCTAGCATTTTTTTAAATGCAAGTGAGTGTGGTTATGGAGAAAAATAAAAATCACTGTAGCGGAATAGAACAAAAACAAACAAAGAGGTTTTAATGTCATCTGTCACCATAGATATTGAGAATCGTATAGTGGCATCGACGCTCCGCAACATACATTAGGCACGGTACATATGAAGCGGTATATAGCACTGGCAACATTTATGATAAGCTTTGCTCTGGTCGGCAGTGTTGTCACCCTACTGTGGGTTACCATGCATTTTTCGCTAACCGCACTCTTTCGTTAGTAAGTGCACATTAAAAAACAACATTTCCTGTCCATGAATGTGTTGTGTTTTTTAACTTTATTAAAACTCGTCTCTGAGTGTTAAACAATAAAAACAGACAAAAAATTATCTTTTATAACAAAACTTTCTCTAGAAATATCCGAAAAGGTATGTATAATTATATTTTTGTATTTTAGCAGGAATTCTTATACGACAAAATTATTTGAAAGGTTGAAAAAACATTTCAATGACTAGCAACTTGAGTCTCTAGAATTGAACCTTAACGTGTATGTGTTAAGGTCGAAGTTACACAACTGACTTGGTATTTTTCAATCTTTCTTAATGTAAATATATGACCAAAATTTTTTTAATACTTAGTTCGACCTTACCGTGTCTATGAACCCTCATACAACTTGAGCTAATATCTGTGGTGACCGTAAAATAAGGCAACCACAGATCTTCAATGTGTACTTCGCCAAAGGTGGCCTTTATCGTGGCGTTGAACTGTCGACCGGAAAACATTGACGTTGCGGGATACGTCAGGTCGAGAAGTTGCTTGCCCCATTGGGTCATTTTCTAGAAACAAAGCAACATATTTATTTTTAACTAGTTGACCTGCCAAATATTATATTAAAACATGAATTATTTCCCCGTTTTTTTTTCACTATTTTCTTCGCTCCTACTAATAGTGGTCTGGTGTTTTATAGCCTCAAGCCTGTAGTACCAAAACCTGTACAACTTAAAAACTCGACTGCCATAACTACAGTTCCGCCAAACAGCGTCAAATTAGTTTTTTTAAGTATGCTGCGTCCTTGTTTTCCATATGGAATCATTGAAAAGAGACAACAATATTGTGTTGCAACATTATGGTAACGACTCAAGACCTGCGACCATTCCCTAGCCTTCTGCGTGACAGTGGTAATGTTCCTTTCCATACACCAGAGGGCGCCCATGAAAGCTCCGATGCTAACTCCACCCACCATATCAATAGGTATGCCGGCCTCCTAAAAATAAAAGATTTTTTATTTATTAAAGACCACGAGTATAAAGCTCGATTTTATGAATTATTGTACTTCTTAATACAATGATTTTCAATCCAGTTTTAGTTTTAATTGTAACCTAAGAAATATGCGCATTTCATACAGTTTATGTATCGGACGTGTGAATTTCGTCTACGAAACAAACCTATTATTTATTTTATGTTCATTTACTTGGAAAAGAAACAAGCAGTCATATACCGAACGGCGGAATGTTTAAAATCTTGAATCTTCGAATTTTAAATCTTTTATCATAAAAATCACAGCTTCTTATAATGAAACTATTTTTCACGTTCGTTTATGTATTCATTCTCTCTGTGGTTATTAATAAGAGATTCACTAAATGAATTTTGCGATACACACCTGTATAGCTCTGAACATGCCCACGTGCGCAGCGCCACGGGCTCCGCCCCCGCCAAGTACCAAACCTACTGAGGTACCTGTCAGCCAACGCGCTAGACGGCTAAAGTCAGAATGCACGCTGGCTTCCGACATTAGTACCTTGCTGTATAATTCGCTCTGTAAAAAAAAATTACGAGTGATATCCTGTTTTCCCCTGGCTTGGGGCGAATATTATAATTTAGGTGGTTGTTAGATACTTACAATACGATACTGGCTCTTTCTCGTGAACATCCGATGGGGACACCTCACGTGATGATGCTGACTGACCCAGGTCCTCATATTCAGCCAGTGGACCGTCCCGGTGGGGTTCGCGCCTCCCTCCCTATGTAACAGAACCAATTCCTTCTGCGTACGAATGGCTAGACGTTCGATTTCCTTTTCAATCTGTAATTAAGGTTAGACTAATAAAAAATTATATAAGTATACTGTATTAGTACCCGTAGTTAAAACAAGTTTAACTAATATATTTCACGATTTAAACCGTTAAAGTATTTTATTTAGATATTTATTTTCAGGTTGTACCTGTGCTGTGATTGAAAATACGAATCCAAAAGATTTTACAATACCTCTTTATTTGATAGAACAAGGGAAAAAATTACTCCAAATTTATTCATGAATATTTATTGAGAAAGATCAAACTATACCTTTCCAATACTGGGCTGTTTATCCCCCAAAGCCACAATGAGGATGCAATCGGCTTGTCGGATACAACGTTGGGTCCATTGCGTTAGACTCGGGTCGCATTGGTACAACGCCACCTAGAAATACACAATTAATTCATTGTTGTTTCGGCAAGTGTCAACTTGCGGCAAGGTTGAGAACTGTATTTTCACCTTATGTTTGTCCTCTTGCTGTGCGAGCCAAGAACTCAGTCGATATTCGTTATTCGGATCCATTATAGTGAGCCCGAGAAGTTTCCTTATTACATCCGATGTCAAACGGACCGTTGGTCCTAGAAGAACAAATATCTTATATTATATTGTGTGAAAAATGTTATATTTCAGTTTTTTTTTATAATATGAAGATTTTGCAAAAGGTAAGTCCCGTTTTCCCCTATGGGGAATGTATCCATGGTCCAAAAATGGATTTGAGTCCATATCCCCGATTTAATTACAAGGAAGTAGTTGATCAGACTTCTGTGTCTTGCCCATATGGGATAAGTTCAAGAGGTCCTGGGTTTGAATCCCGGGATGCATACAAAAATGGGGCGGACACAGAAGTGTGTTCGCCACATGCCCCACGAGGGGAAACAAAATTTCATTATCTTGACTTCACTTATGAATGAATATCTACCATACATATATAATAAAATGTAATTTCCAAGTCGTCTGTACGCTTTAGAACTACTAAGGCTATGTGCGAGGCAATAAATACACAATTATAGATTTGGATGTCAAAATTATGTAGGCGAAGCATAGTATATATAGAAAATACTACCTAACATAAGTATATCTACGTACCTATGGCGCAAAGAGAGTGGTACAGCTCATATGTAAACGCGGTTAGTGGGACATCATCACTGACAGGCACAACGGCGACTGTTGAGAAGTTATGCTGTGAGGGACGGGATTCGATGGCCGCCGCGCCACCTAAACCAGCAGTGGGCTTCTGCCAGGAACCTATTCGTGAAATAGAAAGTAAATTGAATGCATATTAAGTGAGCATTAAGCAAACACATTATCCGATATGTATTCTTATATCTGTATTTTATTTATTTAGAACAATGTTAGCGGATTTAAAAACTGCAAAGCACATGACATTCAACCTCAATACGTAAGTGTTAAGGTCGAAACTACATTGCGCGAGAAGTGCATGTATGAATTGGTTAAATTAATTCGACGATAGCGGAGACGGTAGCTTAATTGGTTAGAGCACGGATAAACCAATTTTTAATTTATACTATATCAATACTACGCTATAATAACTCACCCAAAATCCTATGCCCCAATAGATTAATGAGTCTAGTGACAACAACCGGAAATCGAAGCTTGATAGCATTGAACAGTCCTTCGGGTAGCTTCGCCAGTTCCGAGTCTCGGACAGCCATCACTGTGGTACTGCGACGAGTTTGAGTTACCATTTCCACCTGTAATTAATATAATAAAGCATAAAAACAATCGCATTTCGCCACCTCAATTCGGACAAATTCGCATACGTTCTTGCGTATACGTATGTTACGTATACGCAACAAGCGAGAGATATACTGTATACATAGTTAAATATATATTGTATATCTTTCGTACTCATAGTTCGCGACTCGTGACAAACTATGAAACTATCTAGTCTGATTAGTTTGATTATCTAGTCGTAGATAGAAATAGTGCGAATGAAGGACGAAGGACGACTACCAGTTCTTTTAATGGCAGTTCCAATATTGTTCTTTTAGTACTCAAAGCCAAGGCTCTGCATTATCTTCTTTTATGTCTTATTCTCTTTTTCACCAGTCTTCGACTAGAAATATATCAACTTACAATTCCAACCAAGTCGCCCTTTCCGTACTCTCCAACTAGTTCCTTTTTGCCGTTAGGATGTGTGATGACGGATCTGAGCCGTCCGCTTAGAACAATAAATGTGGAACCAGACTCTTCATCTTGCCTATACACGGCTCTACCAGACTCTAGGAACACCTGGTGAAAAACACGGAGATGTGAAAACTTTTGATACATTCTACAAACTACAATGAGCGGTAATGTTAAAAAACTGAGGAACATGTATTATAGAACCTTTTAGTAGAGACTTCTATGCTATTAAGTCATTTTATCAGATTTTAGACGTTAACCATTTCTAAATATTGAATTGATGACAGGAATATCGCAATCTGCGAGTGAACTACCATCTACAGATAAGATGTCCGTCAAATTTAATCATGTTTCGGCTTCAATCTGTGGATCTATATTTATCCAAAGCCAAAATAGGTCGACAGCGCAATTTATTCGTTAAAATAAAACATTTTAACGGGAAGACCCGTGACCACGGCTGCTGCAAAGCATCCGAAACGACTGGCCGTAGTTAAAACTAATTTTCAAACAAGTTTAACTAATATATATCGCGTTTTAAACCGATGAAGTGTTTTATTTAAATGTTTACTAATCGCCTAAACTACAGACAGTATTTAATTTTATTCCTTGTAGTTAGTATGGTTTCCTCACCCAATCCAAAGCGAAGTCAACTTGTCTAACGAATGGAGACAATCTCTTGACCACGGTGTTAGCGATATGCAAGACCACGGATGGTCGGTCCCTCATGATGCTGTACACAGCTGTCTTGGATAGGAGGCCGATACGAGAGAAGTGCTTAGCTCTGATCGAGAAGAAACTCGGTTCGCCTGTTAGAACAGCAAGACCGCCTTCTACTTCACCTGGAAAGGACAACATAATTTAGTTTGTAACTTTGTAAATTCTTCAGCGCATGTATCAATAGATTGAAAAATGATGATGATGATGAGTAGGACTCGGTAGCTCAATTGGTTAGAACAACAGCACTAAACACTAAATGCGAGGTTCAAGTCTCGCCCGTGTCGTACATTTTTAATAATCATCAAGTCATTTAATATGAAAAATAGTTTCATAAAAATTACATGTCATGGATGGGGGACGGGTTTTACTGAGTCATGAAGAGTTTTGCTATATGTACAAGTTAATATTTTTTTCTCTACTGTGTCTGTGTACCTGGATAAGCCGTAAACATATGGACCTCCCCCTCTCCTTCAGCCACCTTCTGCGATACTAGAAGTGCTCCAGACAGCAAATACACCAGTGCCACATCCTATAATTGTCAAAATACTAAATCAATAATCGTACTTAAACGTGAAGCATATTTATTAATAATAATCTATTTGTTCGCATATAAATAGACAAATAGTATTAAAAGTTAAAAACAATGTTTTGGTCTATGGGGGTTTGAGTAGAAATTAAAATATGTATATTAGTTACGAACTAATTATGATGTTCCTTTACATGAAATAACATGAATTATTGTTGCATACTATCTACCAAAAGTAACACAATGACGAATCATGAGACATATTCTCTTAATCATTTAGAAATAACATTTTATATGATACTATGAAAGTAACCCAAAAATAAGCACACGTTTTATTTTCATTTACTGCGTCTCTTGCCTAAATTGATTTTTAAATTTGATGGAGCAGGACAAAACATTCACGTCGCAGAGGTTTAAAAGAACGATTCATTGTGAAATAAGTTTTCTCTCCCTTTCACATACACAATTAAATATGATAGAAAGAGACAAAGGATTTTTATGAAGAAGGGTAAAACTTTTAATGGATATGTCTGCAAATACAAATCTTCGAAACCCATTCGCAAAGTCACATCAAATAACTACCTGTATGATGTGTGGCTCACCAGGGATGTTATAGTACATCTTTAGAAATCAAAATAAGAATTAGTTTAAAAACTCGAAACTTACACGAAAACCTACTCACGTAGTAAAACGTAATTCTTTTGGGATCTAAGTCCTCAGTCCTTGACATAGATACTTCCTTTGGACAAAATATTAGCTGATTTTAAAGTAAGGCCTCATAAGTCTAAGAAAAGTGTTAAATAAACAGATTTATAAATAACGTACTATTCTTATTATTTTAGTATTTGTTTACTTAGCAATATAATTTTCTCAACGACGTATTTAAAAATATTACGATATTATGGTGTGCCTGTAATTAAATATGCATAATATATGCTAACCTCTAATGGCTAACACATAAGAACTATTATTTGCTACCTCTTCATTGTCTATTGTAATACTACAAATGTAGTTGATATTAATAGGAGTATTTACCTTTACCTTTGTAAGTACCTTTTGGACAGCATTTTGAATTTTCTGTAGCTTGTTTCTTGTATTGACACATTTTACTACATACAATACAGTAGTCCGGATCGAAGGACCATTTGTGTCTATATGACTATTTGTTGGTATTCTTAACAGGGAAAGATGCATTACCTTGTGACTTTCTTCCTTCATGATGTAAGTGCCAGCTGGTAAATCCCTGACTTGCACGCAGCCCTGCAGCAGTTGATCATTCTCCAGGCCTAATTCCTTGATGAATGCCTCCGTGGCTATTTGTATAAGCGCCTGTTTGCGATAGATGACGTTGTTTAGAAAAAAGTATAAATTATCCATTCGCTTCACAAACTCTCGTTATATTATAAGCTTATATAATTAACGTACCTGTTCATCAAGATTTTCAGTATTATGTTTCTTAAAGGAAGAACCCTCTTTTGGCCTTTGGAATGTAGATGTGGGTTGAACATCTGGTTGTTGCTGTTAACAAAAGATATTATTTAGTTAGTTATTATTTTAATGATTAAGAACTAAAAAAGAAACTGTACTTTGTTTGGGTTTGAACAGAATTTGTTGTTAGATAGACTGAAAAATACCTGTGGTGTGTTAGAAGTGACATCTGGTACCATATCTGGTCTGGTTCTTCTGCCCTGGATGTGAATGGGGGACGAGCTTGACGTATTGGCTTCTAACTGTTACATGATTATGACACAGTTAAAACTCTAGGATATTGAGTGTTAATCAAATGAAGAGATGTAAAACAAAACCGGTTAGTATTTTTTTATTAAAAAAGAAAAGAATATTAGTTGAATCATCTTATATACATTAATTACACTTTTTAGTAAATGAATCATTATAAAAAATGACATCACCTGGCAATTTCGTATCGCTTTACTTTGTATGGTATTGTGGGAAAGAGACAAAACTTGGCTCGAAAGCTAGACTGTTCTGTAATGATATTATACTTACAGTATGATCAGGTAGATGTCTCTCACTATGGCTTGGTGAATGCATATTGGTACCACTATCGACTAACGTTTTAGCAGTCTTTACAGGGGATGCCGTCATCGTTGTTGGTCGACGCTTCTCGCGACCCTGAAGAGATTGTGATTGTTAATTTTGTTTTGACGAGTACATATGGAAATAAACTTTTTAAAACGGTTTAAAACGCGAAATGTATTACATGAGGTTAGATGAAAGAACATGTAATGGGAGGACTAAAGCTAACCAAATACCGCGGCTGCAGACCATGGCTAAACCGTTAAAAGTGTTTTATTTAATTGACGCTCGATTGAACATCGACATCCATCAGTCCTTTAAGTTTATTTTTATATCTTTATTTTTAGACAATATTTACTAATACATAACTATATACTGTATATAATTCGAAGATGACTTACTGGATTCACCAACTCGGCACTGAGCCCCAAATATTGATGCAGAGCTGTGAATGTGACCCGCTGTAAGCGGACCATAATAATCTGAAAAATAAGGAGAATATTTTATACTAGTCTATCTCGTTTGAAATAAATCAACTAAACAAAAGTGAAATATCGTTTTCCATTGTGAAAAGATTTTTTGTCTTCAACCGATCGATTTCATTTATGCCTGATCATAATTTATTGTTTTCCAACATTTAAACCGTCCTGGAATTGAGTTGGTCAGGTGCTTCACTTGGGTTCACCATCAAGTTACGGAAGCAATCAATTATTATCTTTCGGTGTCATTTTAAGCCTGTACATATGTTCCTTAAAATCGGTCTAGGTGTCTCAAGAGAGGTTTTGTTACAAACACATTACAACACAAGAACAGTAGAAGTTACGAATAATAAAATAAACTTACCTGTATAACTCTAACGAAAATGTCTGGATACTCTTTGAAGACTTCTTGGAAGGCTCGCATAGGCAATTTGATAACCTGAGAGTCTTCTAATGCTTTTGCGTTTACAGTTTTGTATGGTTGAGAATGACCCTGAAGATGAAAAATTTGTTTGAATATTAAAAGAAAAAACTCTACATTAATTATGGCCAGTATCATCTTTTCTTTATTACAAAATAGGACAGCCCTATATTATATAATCAAGATAAGCTCTCGGTCTTTTGGCTTTGGAAATCCATGGCCTTAAACCAATATGAGGAATTACATTACACAGCTTTTTATCTGTGGACAATGGTTCGGTACCCAGACGATTTAGTTACACATTGAAGTGGTTTTTTACAGAAAATGTTAACTAAGATTATTTACAATCTTTTGAATCTGAGGATCGAATCCACGACATGGAGGTTCTTAGTAATTATTAAATCAAATTTTATTGTCTAGCTTCTATAAAACGTACAGTCAACACATCGGTGAAACTCAACAACGACGTCACACTCTCTCCGGCGCGGACGACTTTCAATGATAGACTGCTGCCATCTTGGTTCGTGATGTAGACGTTGACGCGGCCATTTTGAACGACGTACACGTTTTCATCTGTGTCACCTGGAGAATATTTAAATAGAGAATTGTAGCATAAAAGTATTCAATATTCAAAATGTTTGGTTCGTTTATTACATACAGTTCCGTGCCACACCGTTTGAGATCTGGCAGTAAATGAGATTGATACATATTAAGGATCATATACACAAACCAACGTAAAGACCTTTTGTCCTCAAGTTGAATAACTTTTGGCACAATTACGATAACAATTATCTTTATGTTATGCTTTACCACCTGTTAAACTAAAACTTATCGTTATTTATAATTATTGTTAACAGTATCAGAGTTTCAGTATCAGAAGACCATATAATATTTAAATTTTATTACATTAAATTTTATATGTATGTAGACTCTGCTTCGGAAATATCCTTATATATTTTTATCGGATAGAAAACGGTGACTTTGAGTTTCTTATCCAATAAGTCCTAAAATTACCAGAATAACCACACAATTCAAACACAAACAAATATTATTAAGAAATTTATAAACAACTTTTAAATAAAAAAAATAACTTACCAACTTTAAACAGGAATGAACCAGCTGGTAGATTGAGGATCTCCGTATGTTTGCACAGCATGAGGAAAACAGGTTTCTCGAAGTGACCGAACACTCTGATGCTGTGCAGCATATATAGAGCATCTGGAGGGACACGATCGTCGTTCGTGAGGTCTTCCTCTAGATATTCCGCTGGAGGTTCTAGCACCTAAAAGGAACAGGTCTCTATTACTTGATTGGTTACCCCTGGCCAACAAACCCTTTTACTTTTTAGTCCAAACCACCTTCTCAACGAGCCTTGTTTTCCCACCTAGTAAGTAGTAATCCTAACTATTCCCAAGTTGTATGTATTTTCTCTGTGGCATACAACCACACTACACTAGTGAAATGATAAACATTTGTCCATACGTGAAAACGAATTTGACTTTTATGTATGCTTAATAATCAACGGGTCGTGGATTCGATTCCTATCGGGTGGTTGGAATATCGAAATTCCGTCCGGGTCACAAAACACCGTCTATAGATGAAAAAGCCGTGAAGCTTACTAGCGTTTTGTTTTCAGTCTGTGGATTTCCGAATATCCAAAATGAGTGGATGTTATATGGCTGGCGTATTTCAGCTCCTTTCAAGTGAATCTTATGCTTGCCTGTACTCTTCTATCATCAAAAATTTAAATAAGAAAACGTACTAGTTTTATTTAAATAATTCTAAACCTCAGCCTTACCTTCAATTGCTCCGGAGCGCTCTCCTTCTTCAACTGCAGCAGTTTCCTAGCGAACCTCATCACAGCTCTTCGTTTCCTTCCCTGTCCTGAGTTTGAGATGGACTTCACCTTTCTTAACATGCGACGCCCGTAGAAGAGCATTTTGTCCCGTTTCCGGAAACGTTTCGCTGGTTCGCCGGCAGCCGTTGCGCCTGCCCCACCGGACATTTCTGCGGGATATAAATTGATTTTAAGCCTTATACTTTTAAATAAAACACTTTAACGGTTTAAAACACGATATATTAGTTAAACTTATTTGAAAATGATTTTTAACATCGGCCCGACGTTTCGGATGCTTTGCATCAGGCGTGGTCACGGGGAGACGAAACGTCGGGCCGAAGTTAAAAATCATTTTCAAATAAGTTTCACGAATATATCTCGTTTTTAACCGTTAAAGTGTTTTATTTAAATGTGTACGACTCGCGTAAACTATAGACAGTATTTAGCCTTATACGTGTAAATGTAGGATCACTTTTATTAGTGATCTTGACTATAAAGTTAATGGAGTACCGAATACTTATGAATCGTTAGCATACAATCAGATGTAAATTTAAACATTATATTTTTAGTTACTGGTAACACTTGAAGATTAGAGATTGCTATATTAAGCTGCCTGTACAGGTTACTGTGTTTTGTATAGTTGACTTGTGAATAAATAAAAAGAAATCCTTTGTTATTACACTTAATTTATACATATAAATAATTGTTATAAACAGCAAATAAGAAGAATTACCTTTCGCCCGCCATCTTTTGTAATAATAAATAAAAACAACTAATAGTGACACCAGCAAGCACCCACAGAAGGACCACAGCAACTGAAAGAAATGGAATATTGTAAAAATAATATTAATTAATAATTTTAGCAACAGGGTAAACATTACCGAATCATTAACATATTTTAAGCACAGTGTTGCCACGGTAACTATATTAAATATTTGAAATAATATTTTTGACTTCCGCCGATAGTATTTGCTTTTTATTAACATTTTATCGGATTAGTTTAACGTTCAGAGTATTACACTTTCCGCGACACTGAATAGACTAATAATATTGTTATAGTGTTTTGATCGATAACAAGTTTATTGCAATGCTGTTATGATATAATTCTTATCTGTTCCTTTCCATGCATAACTACTGTGCATTATCTAATACAGATATCAAGGTTTTTTTTTTAGATGGCAGATGGACAAACGAGCATGGGGTTCTCTTATTGGTAGGTAGCCTATAACATCTAAAAAAGTTGCGCTATCGACCTAGTTTGGCTTTGGATATTCGGAAAACCACAGACTGAAATCGACCTTTTTCATCTGTGGACAGTGGTGCGTGACCCGGACGGAATCTCAATATTCCTACCACCCATTTAAGATCCAAGATCCAGACGAAGTCCAACATGTTTCAGAAAAATTCGAAATTGAAAAATGAGAAACATGTAGGACTTTGGTGAAATCGAACTAACACCATTTTGATTACTACATTGCGACCGTTGGACCACTAAGCTAATCAAAATTAGTTTCATATTGACGTCTTCAATACTCTATTTTCCCAAAATCAGACTAAAAATCAGATTTCATTCACCTATAGGTATATTATATGATATACATATAGGTATAATATTATATATCATAGTATTTATTTACAACAGGCATTGGATATTGATGACTTTCAAAGTTTTTGGTAATATTTATTATGACAGATAATTAATTATTGCAGGCAACTGACTGTTTAATACTACGATAAAGTATTTCTTTATCATTTCGGTTATGGTTTTATGTATTTATAAAGCTGTCTTAGATTAATTTAATTTAACATTTAAGGTATTTACCTATTCTTTAACATAAATCACAACTTATAATACATATCTATTATTAAAATTTTAAATACATTGTTGTTATTAATTCCTTACTAGCTGTGCTAGCGACTTCGTCCGCGAGAATCGTTATTTTGGGCATCAAAATTCCTTTTTGCAACTTAAGCTGTTACCCACGACGTCAGTGGCGTCCCTTCCCGCCATTCTTGCAAGTTAATCTTAAAATATAGACATACATACATACATAGACATAGCGTCGCGGACTTTTTTTTAGATAATTTAAAGAGGAATCATTCTTTCATACTTATTGGGTATCTTAAACTGGTGAATATTTTTCCAATTTTTTTTTCACATTTCTTACTGTATCTTTAAGAATGTAAGAAGAATGTTTGCTTGTATTAGTCACAGGGCGATTTCTTCCATAAGGCCTTCCTCGATAAATGCTCTGACCAACACAAAAATAATTTTTCAATTCGAACCCGTAGTTTCTGAGATAAGCCCGTTCATACAAACTCTTCAGCTTTATATATTAGTATAGATAGATATTATGATTTATTTATGCTAGTAGTACCGCTCACGAGAAGGTCTACTAGGTAACGTAAAAATATCCTTGAAGTTACGATAGTCTTAATAGAAGGAAGTTGTGCAAAGTCAACAATCCGCGTGCCTATGTCGCAAATACTGGTGACCTTTGCATAAATTTATCTTAATAGAAAAGGAATTTATATGATAAATAGTAATATTAATAACGGCCTAATTAGACTCATTTCTACTGCTCAAATCAAACTTTTACAAAAGGAAATAAAATCAAAATTATAACAGATTTATGCTAAGTTGACGAGCAAATTATTAAAGTGATTGTGTATGTGGTAGAGATTGCTTTTATCACAGCTTACAGAATTGACTAACGGTATCTTTGTGTTTGCTGGTATGCTATATTGGAATCCAGAATTAAAAAACATTAGCGTCCAATAAACAGCATACCAGCACTAGTGTAGCAGTTTAATTAATATATTATATCACATTTTAAACTGTTAAAGTGTTTTATTTAAACAGCTTAGTTTGTATATCACAAAAGCAAACAATTTCAGGTATGTTTTCTTCTTACATTAAATGGTGCAAAAACTGCTTTTAATCAGTAAACTGTACAATATTAAATTATTTCTTATTCAAAAATTAATTACCACATGAAATAGTGACGTCTAGCAACGCATTGAAATCATAATTATAATAAAATATATATTTTATTTTTTAAATAATTAGAAGTTTTACATTTGATAATATTAATTTTAAAAAGTATTAGTTTGTGCGCAAGGACTTCTAAAAGTATTATCTCTATATTATACCACAGCCAAGGCTGACTTATCTTAAGGTTAAACAGAGATTTTTTATTCTAAATTCAATAAATTTGATATATTCACTCTTATATTTTGTTAAAAATATTTCTTTAAAATATATCTACAGAAGCTGTTAAGTAAAATTAAACATCCCTAAATTTTTTATTGTTTAGAAAGGAACTCAATATATGTTTTTTTAATTGAAATCTTTATTTATGTTTATTAACAAAAATGGCCAACATTTTATTGTCACTATAAAGCCACAATTAGCCTACATATTATCTACATATTGGAGAGCCATGAATACTTGCCAACAGTAAAGTTAATACACTAAGATTCATTCAAAAATAATATGGTACAAACTATATTATAAAATATGGTTTCCAATAAATGTAGTAAAATTTAAAACACATAAATTGTCAAGTTAAAGAAAATACCTGCATTTATCTAATATTCTCTTTGTTACAATCGAATGGTATAACTTATAAATATATAAACGTACAACAACAAAGGGCATTGCATATACATACTGTATTCCTGACAGTTGACGATACATTTCAAGGGTATTTACGAGCTATTATTAACAATATGCCTTCTTATCTAACAGTCCTAACGCTTCCGGTTTACGCACTATTTAATTTTTCGCCTAAAGTCAAGATAAATAGCAAAAACAAGAAGTTATAGTTCTAAGATAAAAAATCAATATTGACTCACTTGATTTTCTTGGAAACTATTTGACCATTCAGACGTCCAAGTTTTCACGGCGAACATGTCAGATTTATCATTTATATTGTTTAAGAGACCTACAACATCCATTTTTATTTAAAGAAACATTTATTAATTATTCGAGAACAAACGTACCAACAACCATCGCAAAGAATATCAGCTGCTATTTGACAGCTGACAGATACAATATTTGGCTTTGAGCTTTGAATGAGAGACCGAAGATTTCATAGGTTGTATGACAATACTGTACTGAGTATACAATAGCAAATTATAGTATTTTCATTTTAATACAAAATTGTTATTTAATTTATATATATTTTTTAACACCTTTAGTGTGTTTTTTCCAACCGTTCATTCTTTGGTTCAGAGAGCCGAATTTATAATATATCGAACAGTAAATCCAAAATCGGACCTTCGTTCACACGTCAGTCTTTGCAGATTGCAGTTCAGTCTTGATCTCGTTCTCGAATGACGAATCATTGTAATTGAAGACGTCGTCTGAGTGCACGTACAGCTTGCTGTGACTTCTTTACTTTATGATATTTGTTATATTTTTAAGGCAGGGTGAAAACAAATATCAACTTTATTATAATTTGCGGTAGAAAAGATAAGAATTGTAAGTTTTATTTTAGGATAAAGTGAATTAGTAAAAATCTATGTTCAATATGGCGACAGCATTGGAACTTATTTTCTGTATTTTTCTAGATGTCGCGATACCGAGAATGGGATCTATCGTGCAAAGTGTATGTTGGAAACTTGGGTACAAATGCATCTAAATATGAAATAGAAAAGGTGTTCTCAAAATACGGCAGCATACGAAACGTATGGGTTGCGCGAAATCCGCCGGGTTTCGCTTTTGTTGAATTTGAGGATCCACGAGATGCTGAAGATTCAGTCAGAGGATTAGATGGAACGTAAGTATCATTTTATATCGACGCTAAATCAAAACTATAAGCGGTCCTCGTTCACAGGTTGTACAACTGCGTGGTAATTTTTGGGCCGCCATTTTGTTTTACTCCACGCCATTTTTACCCGTGAAGTAGGTCATGAAAAAATTCCAAAATATACTTATTAATGTTAAAAATATTTAGTCAATCATTCAAAATGCACGCTCCTTAGATCCGTTTCATTTTTAATGTGAAACGCTTGAGTCATAAGTGTGCAACAGCACAGTACCTCCAATTTAAGACTGACATGTGCACTTTTCCATAAAAGTACAATTGTCTCAAAATGGGGAACATTCATTTTTCAATAGTTTCCTTACTCTACATAATAAGTTACTGCAATTGCATATCATGTCATACAAATACTTCTTATCATATAATTTGATGAAGTATTAGAAACTGTTTATAATCTCACTTGTGTTTAGTCGCACAAAGCTCTTTGATAAAATATAAATGTATGACGGTCTTTTTCTTTTATTAAGTATATGTATATATAAAACGTCTTTGTTAATAATACTTTGTATTTCTTATACATTAGATGATTTGTCAATTTTGATTGATAGGAGATGCTGTGGCACCAGAATCCGTGTAGAGATGTCAAGTGGTAGAACAAGACGAGACCGTCGGTAAGTAGTCTGATAATTTTTAAGTCCCCCCATACCCTTTCATAGATAATAATAATGACAAACAATACATAGGGAATCCAACTACAGTCCAAATAATTATTATTTGAAATTGAACTTTAAAATATTTACCAAAGCAATCTAAATTCATGTCAAGATTCCTCTTTATGCACATGCATGGGCTGTTTTTCTTTTGTGTAAATATATACTCTAGCTTTGAATTTACTATTTAAAAACAAGGTGATTTGAAGTAATAAGGTAGCCCATGTATGCGCTTAAACTTTGATTAAAATGCGATGCGCGCACTCTAGTGGATATAATGCTTAATAAAGTGAGATATTGCTATTCGGGTGACGCGAGTGCATTTGAAATAAGGCGACACTAAATGTGGTGGGTGTTGGAACGTTTGCAGGTCCATTCTATCAACCAACCACCAACACACCATATCTCTTCACAACTACGGCTTAATTTCCGCGATCGTCGCCACCATCTGCGAACAGAACCTACGCGCCGAAGCCTCCGCAATCAGCGGCCCAATTATCCTCACGACAGCTATCACCTAACCCCGATCTCCCTAAGGACTTACACACAGTAGGAAAACCCTCATTGCGATCCTGACGCTTCACTGCCAGCACACTAAGCTACGAGGCACCAATATCGAAATACAACAGCGCTCGGGTTAAATTTCTCGCGATTATCGCGGTTATATAACATCATTTGAAGAATATCCCCCCTTGGCCACAGCAGGCACCACGACAAGGCTCACCAAGTCTCGGTACTTTTTGAATCCTATACTTAGCACTGCCTTACCTTAACTATATTTTAGCTCTAGTGCCAATCACAGGCATTCGCAATGTACTCAGGAGTCTCAGAGCTCAAGATAAGTGCAGGCTGAAACTGGTTAATACTTATTTTCATCTATAGTTATCGCGAGTAGTTTACATTAAAAGCATAGTTAAAAAATTTACTCACAGGATCAAGAATTTAAATCAGTAATATGTTAAGTTATCAATCAATTGCATCTAATAAACCTATTGGTGACACTCATGTAGAATACAATCTTACGTGATATGTTTACTAATTCCTACCACTATAGGGAACACTACAAGTATTTACATGGGTCTAAGTGTGAGTTTTATATTTATTGGGGTCATTAAGATATCTTATATTTTAAATAAATTCAAATTCAATGACCATCTCTAAGTTAAACTATAAAACTCATTCTAGAGAAGTGTGTTGAGGCAGTAATGCATTACGAGTTACTAAAATTCTTTATAACTTCCAATTATCAACAGGAAGTCAGATGTATGAACTGTAGTAACATGCGTTATAGGCCACAATGCACATGCAAAGAGTTGTCTTCTGAATCTTAATTGATCAAATTCTCCAGAACACGCAGTCGCAGTCCACGTCGTCGATCCTACTCGCGAGGGCGTTCCGTCTCACCGCGTCGGTCACCCTCCGTCCGCCGCCGCTCACCGTCAATTCGTCGTTCGCGATCGCGCGACCGCCGCAGTCGTTCCGATAGCAAGAGCAGGTATAATAGCCCCTACCGCCGGTCGGCCTCGCCGAGACGCTCCCCCGAACGAAGCAGATCGAACAGCAGAAATAGGTATGTCTCCGCAACTCTACGAATAGCCGACGTACCTTCAGATGGTTGTAAGGATGATTTTTAATTTCCCTCTTTAGTGATAGTTATCTCTTTAGAGATATTCTTGAATCACAAGAATATTTGGGACTAAAGCCAATTCGGCAGTTCTTAACTGTTATTCTAGTCATTCAGATTATTTATTAGATTGAGTGTGTAGTAAAGAACCTCTTTCAGTTCTTATTGTCATTTAATTGTTTATTATAGTCATTTAATTGTATGTGACGAAATTTATACCACTTTCAGTTGTAGTTTTGTATACCCTATATGGTAGCCATCCAACACATGCTTACTTCAATATTATTGATTTTGAAAAACTATTGATTATGATTTTTTATTACAGATACTGAAGAAGACACGTGTCTTATGAAAAGGACCATTATTTTAAAACTGGAGAATGAATGTGTAATGTGAATGTGAAGGTTATTAAGATATCTTTCATACTTTGTTTATAGCAGCTTCTTTTTGTAAATTAGCATCAAATGTAAATTATAATTTTATTAATGAAAAATTATAGCATTTTAATTAATGTAGGGGTAAATGCATTGAATATTATAACATACTTTTAAGAACATAGTTGTTTTATTTCAGATCTTATAAATAAATACATTTCTTAAATACAATATATATATTATAAAATTCATTTGTCATAAAACTAGATTGCAATAGTTAAGAATTACAAAAATTCTAGATACGTTTTTTAAAATAGTAAGCATTATAAGCCAAAAAGCTATTGAAACAGTTATCTTTAATATCCACAAATTTTAAGATCAAATTAAAATTATTACCTACTTATTTTTATAAGTAATTGGTTGCTGCAGTTTCTTTGAAAAGAAATCAAAATAAAGGTAAGTTCCAACAACAACTAATACTGTCCCTATCACATGATACATTGTCAAGCTATTCTTAAAGACTATAGATGAGATTAGCAATGAGAGAAATTTCCTTACTGTCAAAATAAAAGTTACAGTGACAGATGTTTCTTTAGTACCCAAAACATGGACGGAATGGGCACAGTAGAACTGGGCAAAGATATTGAGAATTAGAATTGACCAGATGCTTGTTGACAGGCTGCCAGCAATTGTTAGCATTTGTGGTAGGACAACTGAAAACATTGGCAGTGGTATTGCGTGTGTGTAGAACAGCATCTGCAACAGTTCAAGCCCAAGTTTTGCTAATATCAATGACAATGATGAGTCTCAAAAATATGACATTAAATGAAAAATTGTATCTAAGTGATCTCCAAGATCAATCCTGTCTTAAATGTTTTTATTGTCACTTGCATTGTGTTGCCTTAAAAATTGGAAAGATTTAGGGTACCAACCTCTTCAGGACACTTTCCATATTCAGAATATAACCTCTCCTGCTGCAGACCAGTAAATGCACCAGTGATCAATGTGGCTAGTAATATTAATACGCCAGCACACCAATGAAGGAATTTAATTTCCTCTTCAACTACTTTTGCACCACCATACATGGCTATAGCAACACCACAAGATATTATGATTGAGCCTAGAATTGAATTGACTTTTGGAACTCTGTTTTTTACAAACCAACATACAAACATGCTTGTTGGGGATGCTGCAGATCTGAAATTTAAGTTTTATTTGTTAACTGGTTTTATTTCTTTTTATAAGTCAAAATTTTTTTCCATGGATTTCAATATTGCATTAATTATTTAAACATAAGGGTGTTACATTATTAAAAATAATATCGATTGTGTACAGCAGAAATCTAACATTCAAGAGCAAAATGGCATAATACCATGCAGTAGATATTGTTTAAAATCATAAACATAATTAAACAACATATGTAGTTGATAATTACTACCAACATATTTTGATTTAATTTGGTAGGTACTTATACATGCAATATTAGTATATTTTGTTGCAATGTACACATGCTTTTAAATCAACAGCAAAGTTACCTGATAATCATGTGAAGAGTCGATGGGACATGCAAAGCATACACATAATTATTGGCCACACTTGTTACAAAAAACAAACTAATAAGGAAAAAATACTGCCGAAGCGGGATTTTAGGAGCAAACTGAAAAAGTAAATGTATAAATCAACTATCTAAAAATATAACATGTGCAAACTATGCCGTATCATTTCTTACCACATTATGTTTAAGGGTAAGTATTCCTTGTGCTGTAATGCAAAGAAATTGCAGGAAAGTCACTAAATTGGCACACTCTGGGTTCGTAGCCATCATTACTTCCATTAAAAATGCACTTGAACAACAGCTAATAAAAACTTTTATTATGTCATTAGAATATGCCATAATTTCGTATTTAGTTAACCGAATATAATAAAATATTAACTTTAGTGTATATAGTATAACTTTAGTTATATTGCTACCTAATCGATTTCATACACTTGAAGTAATAAGATATTGAAATCATGTTTACATTTAAATTCTGTCTATTCAATTAAACTTTATTATAATAAAAATAGATTTGTAAACACCACTACATTATGATACTTTTATTATTAACAAAACTTTTTAACTAAAAGGGAATTATTTAACTTTTTTGAGTAACTTTTACATAGTAATACTTAAAAACATTCAAACTAGAGCGGCAGATCAAAGCGATAGACTTTATTTGCCAATTGCCACATCATGCGATCATAGATGTATTAAAATGGCATTAATTTGACATAGTATATTGTGACAAACAGGCAACCGTTGTCATATGGTGTCACATGATTCGTACAATATTAATTGATTTATAAAATGAATGTAGGCACACTATCTAATATATCTCGTTTATTTTATTATCCTGAATTCGACTAATTAAAAAAAATTAATGATAATGACATATGTCAAAGTAGTGTTTGACGTTTTATCGCGGGGTCGTTTGACGGAGAATGGAATTTACCTACTTACGTTAGCAAATTGTTTCTCGATGCGCGCCGTTGACCGTTCGTAAAATAACTTCGCACTCTGTAGACGTGCCTCCGCTTCGCGCCAAAATGATTTTATTCATTCCCATACCACGAAGTGCCAAAACAGTTTTCGTAATTTAATTTAATTATTTGTGGCTCGAAGTTCAACAGTTTTATTTTATATGTGAAATAACTGTGTGTTGTGCGGTTGTTACATTTACTCTTACTCGCCTTTTCTCGACTACACGATGCAAACGATTCTAAAGTTTAATTCCATGTTGAAAGTGTGCGTTTTGGTATATTTGGAAAAATGTTAAATCGATTTCTAGTGACTTTCCTTATTGTGATCCAGACATTTTCATTCGGTATGTACAACTGTGAAGACTTATACCTATTACTCTTTGTCTTTTGAATTCTCTGGAAGTATTTTGTCTGTTATTTAATTAAAAGGTGGTTTTATTTCTTCCTATATCTAATAAGTATTTCATTATTCTATTCTAATGATTTTCCTATTCTCTATGTGTCATCTCCATACCTAAATAACCCTCATTTAAATTAATAATCATCATCATCATAATAAGCAGGTTGAAGTATAATTTAAAATTAAATCGCACAATTTTTTGCTCTTCCACTGTTTACGTTCAATCAGCAGAAAAATTCCAAGTCAACGTTGTGAATTTTAAATATCGAAAAATGTATTTAAAAATGGCGACTCAAAAATAGTACCTACCTACATTTACAGTAGAATCATTATAATTTTTATATGAGAGGTTTAGGTAAGTATATATACATTTAATCGATTTAAATATAAATTTAATTGCGTAAGAGCTGTAGGCTTACATGGGTTAAAAAAATTACGCCGTGTGAAATAACGCTATGGTACGGCAATAACATGGGTTCGAGTACGGTACCTATTACCTATTAGATTTATTTTTTAATCAACACTATTTGATTTATCTATTTATTAGAATTGTTAAAAGTTAGGTTAAAAGATGACAGTATTATATGTGCCTATACAAACGAAAAAGATTCAACTGCCGTCAACGAGTTTTTCGTAATGATCTTGCGTTTAATATTTCTTTAAATAACTACCTACCACGCTAATACGTTGATTAATTATTCATCATCCAGGGTTTCCATTGCGTACGCTGCAAAAACGGTTTAAATACCAAAAAAAAATAAAATTAAATGATCTAAAAAAAGTCCACGACGGTATATGTCTATCTTTTAAGATTAACTTGCAAGAACGAAGGAACTCAGACAACGTAGTGGGTAACAGCTCCAATTTATAAAGTTGAACAGGGTTTGCAAAAACAAAATGGATTACCAAATTAATTATTCTACGCGTACGAAGTCGCAGACTGAGCTAGTCATGAATAAAAATAAAGCAAACGAATCAATTAGAATCATCATGATACAAGATTTTATAATGTCAAGTTTTAAATAATACTTCCAGTTTAGGTATGTTTTTCTATTATAATTTTACTTTCGGATGTATTTGTTTTTTTTTTCATCGTACAATTGATTTTCTTCATGCCTTTGTTTCATTTATAAAGACACACTGTCTACATTGTCTGTTCTTGAATCGAATTCAATTCGGTTGCCAACACGATATTTTTGTGGTTGTTTACGCTTGTTTCGCTATTTTTACATCGAAGCAGTCATTCATAGAGAAATTGCACTTGCTTGCATTTTATAAACATTGCAACTCTTATCCTTGATCGTATACATGTGAAAGTGTTTGGTTGTTTGTAGAACTCACGAACGGCTTGACTGATTTCGATGAAGTTTGATGTCAATATATACTGGATTTTCATTCTTAATATTAATCGGGGTATGTAGAATTGTTATCCGGGGGAAACGTTAGAAGTCGTTTAGTAAAACTCTAAATCTACCTAAATACTGTCTGTAGTTTACGCGAGTAGTGCACGTTTAAATAAAGCACTTTAACGGTTTAACGCGATATTTATTAGTTAAATTTATTTTAAAAGTACTTCTACGGCTCGACGTTTTAAATACCAACTTCGACGGAACAGATGGCGCTAACGCAGCAGTTTTACTTTGACTTCAGGACACCCACAATCTATAGTCTCCCCGTGACCACGGCTGCTGCGAAGCATCCGAAACGTGTTACGGTACGGGCCGTAGTTAAAATATTTTTCTAATAAGCTTAACTAATATATATCGCGTTTTAAATCGTTACATTTTTTAAAAATCTAAATTTACCTATCTGTTCTGTGTCATGATTGAAAAGCTTCAGGGTCGGACGAGTTAAAAATATAGTACTGGACTGTTTTTATTACTGATGAAATAACAAAGTATAGTAAACGATTTCTAGAACGAAGTACCTATATATCTACCCAAGTACATTAAGAATCCCCTACTTTACGTTATCTATAACCATGTACATTATAATATGATTTCAAAGTTATTTATAACTACAAGCATGTAAGAACGACGACATGTAAAGAAATTTGTATTATTTGTATGTTTTTTATTATCGAAGAATCAACCGTAGTTTTTATTGATTTCTTTTATATATTTATAAGTAATTTGTCGTGGGCATTTTTTTTAGATCATATAAATATTTTTTCCTACATTTTTGAGAATCTTAAATCGTTTTTTAAAAACAGAAACCCACAAAGATTAATAATACTCCCCCTTTTTCCACATTTCCCACTGTTTCTTTGCCTCTATTGGTAGCAGCGTGATGTTTTATAGCTCAAAGCCTTCCTTGACAAACACTCTAACCAACATAATGCAAACCACTAGTTTCTGTGATTAGCTTATCAAACATGCAAACTCTTCAGCTTTATAATGTTAGTATAGATATACCTATGATTCATTTTAGGGTGCCAAATAGTATCAACGAAGTTTATCAAAATCGGGCAAGCCTTTTAAACTAGACGGAGTGACAAACGTTTTTACATGTTAAGTTCTACCGTTGAACCGTATAGTGCTCTCCAAACTTTTTGGCCGGGCTGAAGTTAGCACGGATGACAAAGGGTGGGCGGGGGGACTCAACTTTTTGCTTAAAATTGACAGTACATGCGAAGATGGCGGTCGCGCTAACTTCAGCCCGGCCAAAAAGTTTGGAGAGAACTGTAAACCTACGTTCGTTCCATAATTAATTCACTCGGTATCTTGGCAAGTTTAGTAAACTCATGCAATTCTATCGAGGCACGCCCAAAGTGTTGTTTACACCGATCAGAATGCAGAACGAGTTTTTCTGCACGTTCATGTAAGTATTCATGAGCGGCTATTGTTAGTTTTGCCGTCTCAAGGACTGCTTATGGGGCGTAGGTTTCTTAACATTATTTTCAGAGCTACAGACAAGACAGACACTTAACAAAATGCTCAGCTCAGCCAAAACACCAATTAGAGTTCATCGAACTTTCAGCTCAACAACAAAATAAATAATATTGCTGTTGATCGACATGATGATTGATATTTTAAGAAAAGTTTATTAAGGAGCGAACCCACGAACCGTTGATCCATGCTTTGTTACACCAATACACCGAGTCCATCAAATATTTTAAAGCTTTTGCTTTGAGCATTTGTCATATTAAATACCGTCTATAGTTTACGCGAGTAGTACACATTGAAACAAAACACTTTAACGGTTTAATACGCGATATATTAGTTAAACTTATTTAAAAATGATTTTTAAGCAGCAGCAGCCGAAACGTCGGGCCGAAGTTAAAAATCATTTTTAAATAAGTTTAACTAATATATCGCGTTTTAAACCATTAAAGTGTTTTATTTAAACTTGTCATATTGTTTCTTGACTCGAAAATTACCGCATTAAGCACTTGTGTTAAGCGAGAGACGTTGTAGGTTGAAATACCGAAACGAACCAGCCAGGAAAGAGTTAATTGTGATTATTTGTCTGATAAAAAAAAAATGTGACTACAGAAATAGAATAAACAAAATTGGAGTATGTTAGTGTAATTTTTCTAGATTTTGCGAAACTCACACGTTGTCAAATCACTGGGACAGCGAGATTCTAAAAGTAGGCATCTAGCGCAGTGTTTTCTCATGTGAAGTTTCCCACGAGGGACAGTTAGGGGCTAACCGCTTGTTGGCACACTTGATATCTTAGAAGTACCTACCTACTCGTAGATAGCACGAGATTGGATTATGACTTTAAGAAGTACTGAATTACAGAAATATAATTTAATTGTTACTATAGTATGTTAGCCTTTATATTACCTTTTATATTTATTTAAACTTTCTAAGCCTCTATATTTACCTTTTATATTTATTTAAACTTTCTAACGCAAAATGTATAGTCCCCCCCGTAACCAAGGCTGTAGCAAAGCATCCGAATCGACGGGCAGGCGTATAAATTAATTGTAAATCATCAAATTAGCTAATTTTTCGAGTTTTAAACAGTTCAAACAGTTTCATTTAAATGTGAAGTACTCGTGTAAACTACAGACAGACTTTATCTTTGCTACCAACAAAAACGAGTTATAATAAAACATTATAACTATTAAACGTACCTATTATTTTAAAAATAATAAAAATACTTTTTACTTATAGCGAACTTGTTTAAAACTACTGTACATACTTTAAAGAAACTTACAAAAGTCTCATATCGCACTTACACAAAAGACTCCACTGATTACATATTATTTCTATTGAAATACTTGGTCTACAAAATATCCAAATTCGCGGTTTTTCAAGTCTTAAGTCAATTTTTCATAATTCTCACAGATAATTTAAAATTTTAAGTAAGGATTTACGTAACTCGTTGATTTTCTAATACGGTGGAAATAACAACATTTAAAAGTCTTTTATCTGTGAACGTATGAAAATTCATTGTCGTTAAATTGCTAACACGGCGTGAAGGACGCAAACGCCTTCTGTTATAAACGACCTTGTTTTTAACTTACATCCTAATTCTTAAGCTACAAATTAATTATATTATAATTATTTACAATTATCACATGATTACGCAATATTATTTCATAAACGTAAGACACAAGCAGCACACAATCTGTCGCCTACCAATGACGGGCGCGTTGGTCTAATAGTAGCAATGTATGCATCACGACCAACATGTATTCAATGTATAATTTTTGTGAAACATGTTGGACCTCGTCTGGAAATCTGGATGTTAAATGAGTGGTGGGGATATCGAATTAACGGGTACGGGTCACGAACCACCGTCCACAGATGAAAGAGCTGTAAAGCTTAATCACGTTTCGGTTTAAGGATTTGCGTTCTGGGTTTCCGAATATAATTTAAAAATCGAAAATAAATTGAAAAAAATTTTGACTCGGGCAGGACTTGAACCGGCACCGTCAACATGCCGTGCTGTTGCTCTTTTTTCAATTTATAATTAATTATATAATGCCTT